ATTCATTCCTTTGTATAATTTTTAATTTTCTGGCATATACATAAGTGGTCTATAAGTTGTCCTAAATCAAAATAAATTAGCAACGAACGCCCTAATACTGAAAGTCTAATTAATTTGTATTATAACTTTCGTGAGACATACTAAATAAATTATTATGTTTTCAGTAGCAGCGCGACAGTCGCCGCGTCGCAGGTCGCGAAATGCTGCTCATGAATATGAGCCTCTAGTATGGCTTGAAACTAGTCGAGTTCCTCGTCAAATTATTACGTGAGCAAGCCGAAAACATAATTTACTTAATTTGGCTACTTAATTTTTGGTTGTAATTAGTAAACGTAATGTATCGAGCCATCTCTGTCATTTTATAAGGAATTTGTAGAGACAGAACTACTCATAGGTACTTAAGCGCGACTTAAAATTTACTGGCGTTTGAGTATTGGATATAATCTACATAAATAGATTTATATGTAAAACGAAAAACAAAGACTTCCTTAACCAACCACATGGAAAGTTTTAAACATCTCCAATTATGAGATGACTCAGTTTCCGACCTTAATGAGAAGCGGACCAATTACGAAGAATTACGATCGAAACAGACCACCTTCCTTGACATAACTCTGTTGACCTACGAAGTGACAGTGATTGCGTCACAATAGCAAATGTGTCACTGTTGATGCCCAAGCAAAGTTCGTTGACCAAGGCCTCTATTCGCAAGCAAAAGGAAGGATTTGCGATAGGAACAACCTCCATACATCAGGAAATATTATCGTTTCCATATAACATATACGTAATACACATTATCATCATATTTCTGAGTGACCGCATCATCTTTTGTTCAACGAATTTGTTTTCACATAATAATACTCTATCGTGACGTTGTGACATAAGATTTATAAGATTCTCCTTGTAAGTAACATCTTTTATAGTAATGTGTAATATAATAAATAAACATTAGGTAAGCTTCTGAGGTTTTTATTGAACTTCTGTTTTGTTATAATGTGTTTTACCGACAAATTTGTTTAGATTGATGATTGTTTATAATGTTGTTTTAATATTAGGTTCACAGCGTGATCCTAGATTCTGCATTAATTATATCCTTCGCCGATAGTTGCACGCTAGGTATCATTTTTCATCGGATGTCTAAAAATGATATGATCAACAAAGTAAGGTTTTCCCTGTTATTACGCCCTCGTATCTAAGAAACTTTAGATCTAGTTATATCAGCTAATTGCACAACTTGATTCCTTCTAGTCCATTCCATTATCTTCATCATCAACAGCCTATAAATGCCCACTGCTGAGCAAAGCCTCTTCTCACACGGAGAAGGCTTGAGCATTAATCACCACGCTTGTTGAATGCGAGTTGGCGATTACAAACTTATAATTAGAAAACACAAGCTTAGGTTTCCTCACGATGTTTTCCTCCACCGTTTGTCAGTGGTGTGTAAATAATCAAGAAAAAGTCACATTGGCACTTGCCGTTGGTAGGTTCCGAGCTCGCACCTTCATGCATGAGAAGTGGGCATCTTAATCCTCCCGGCCACCACGACATTTATCCATATTCCATTATCTCACCACAAGCGGCGAAGCGTCACCGATTCATGGTAGATGTCCCACCCACACGCACGAAGAGCTTCGCATCAAGCTTCCTTGTGTGGAATTCTTTGCCAGATTAGTTCCTGAAGGGTATAACGTGGATGTCTTTAAGATTCAAGTGAATAGGTTGCTTTAGGGACGACGTGCTCCATCGTAGACGGTATTACCACTTACCACCAGACAAGATAGAGATCAAACGTCGGCCATGGTCGGCAGCGCACTCGTGATGCCTCTGATGTTGCAGGAGTACGTAGACTACGGTGGCTATTTACCATCCGACGACCTGTAAATTAGAAGGAGTAAAAACCTGCGAGCATCAGGTAGAACCATAGATAGGTATAATAAATGGTAGGCAGAACACCCTACTAAAGCTATAATTAATTTATATTATA